ACAACGTACTGTAAAATCCCACGTCGCAGCTGCAGAAGAAGGAAAATGTGCATACTGTCAAGGACCGCATCGCACTACAAAGTGCACCCGTTTTCTTGCAATGAACCACGAAGAACGTGTAAATGCCCTTAAAGCCGCTAGGCTTTCTTTCAATTGCCTAAAATTGGGACATTCAGATAAGCAGTGCCCTTCGGGTCTTTGCCGACATTGCAATCGGAAGCACAACTCATTGCTTTGTCGGGAAACTTTATCTACGAACGCAGGAGGGCTGACCGCGACAACCACTCAACCGGTTCCCATGAACAAAGATCAGTCCAACTGACTAGAAGCTTCGGCGGCCACCTGCCATACCAATGCGCATCACACAGTTTTATTAGCGACAGCACGCGTTTATGCATACGGTGACCCAACGACTCGACGCATGGCGCGCATGCTCTGTGACCCGGGATCGCAGGTCAGTTTTGTTACAGATAAGTTAGCTAATTCTTTATCTCTTCGTAGACGTAAATGTGATATCCCTGTCCAAGGAATTTGTGCCCATTCTTCCGCTCGCGCTCGTGGTAGCGTCTCGCTCACATTAGAATCTGCCCACACTAGTTTTACGCTGAAGATAACTGGGCTTGTCATTCCGTCAATTACTACGGTCATCCCTGTCCAAGGAATTTGTGCCCATTCTTCCGCTCGCGCTCGTGGTAGCGTCTCGCTCACATTAGAATCTGCCCACACTAGTTTTACGCTGAAGATAACTGGGCTTGTCATTCCGTCAATTACTACGGTCATCCCCGCAACGTATATTGACATGGCACAGTGGAAGCACTTGTCCAGCATACAATTAGCGGATGCACAATTCGGCGTTCCCGGTAATATCGACGTGCTAATTGGTGCTGACGTATGGGGTCAAGTTGTCGAAACTGACTTCAAATTTGGCGGTCCTTGTGAGCCGCACGCTCAACGCACTGCTTTCAGGTGGGTCATATTTGGCCCAGTTTCTGCAGCACAACCTTCAACGTTGCCAACTCTCGCATTAAGTACGCACCTATGCGACGAGGACATACACTTGGAGGAACTGCTCCGAAGTTTTTGGAAGTTAGAGGAAGTGCCCTCCCTAGAATATGATGGAGATGACGAATGCGAACGAATTTTTTGTAACACCCACTCTCGCACACCTGACGGACGCTACGTTGTATGCATACCATTTCGTCCTGATGCGCCGGCTTTGGGAGATTCTTATACTCATGCATTACGACAGTTTTACCTTCTTGAGAGGCGACTGGCAGCAAATAGTGAACTCCGGGAGAAATACATTGCTTTTATGCGCGAATATGCAGACCTAGGCCATATAGAGCGCGCATACTCATTGAACGGTAATGAAACGGGCTTTTATATCCCGCATCATGCAGTTTTGGGGAAGTTTCGCGTTGTGTTCAATGCCTCGGCGAGAACTACAACCGGCGTCTCCCTAAACGAAGTTCAGCTGGTAGGAACGACAATACAAGATCCGCTACTTAACATAATATTTCGCTTTCGCCGCTTTCGCATCGCATTGTCTGCCGATGTTGAGAAGATGTTTCGACAGGTACTTGTTAAACCCGAGCATAGAGATTTTCAGCGCATTATTTGGAGAGAGTCCCCAACCGATGACATCACTATATACCGCCTTACAACGGTGACTTATGGTATGGCTAGCAGTCCCTACAACGCGGTCCGCGCACTCAACCAATGCGCATACGACAACTACAAAGTGGTCGCTGATAGTCAACAATCGATAGCGGCACGCGATGCGATCTTGTCGTCGTTTTATGTCGACATTTTTCTTACCAGCTGTGACACTGAAGAAAATGCAACTGAACTTGCATTCAACGTGACTTCCATATTGTCTGAAGGCCACTTCCATTTACGTAAATGGAACTCCAATAGTGGTGAAGTATTAGCACGCTTGATTGGCAACCGTTCTCCTAACGTAGAGATGACCATCGAATCACCAACAGCAACTGTACTTGGGCTTCGATGGGATGCAGCAGCAGATGAGCTATTTTTCAAGGTAGATCTGAAAGAGAGCTTAGGCTTCCTAACGAAGCGACGGGTACTAAGTGCCGTCGCAAAATTATTCGACCCTACCGGCATACTGGCACCAGTTGTTATTACTGGAAAAATATTCATACAAAGGTTGTGGGCTGCTCGATTGTCGTGGGACGAACCACTGCCAGATGAACTTCAAACCACCTGGGTAGCCTTTTACAGCGAACTCGACGTAATAAACAAAATCCGGATTCCGCGATGGTTAGGTATGGCTGAAGGAAGAGCTACTACCCTGCTAGGATTTTGCGATGCAAGTACGCTCGCGTATGCAGCTGTAATATATATTAGAGCGCGGAAGGTCATTCAGCTGTATCACTGCTTACGGCTCGGACCAAGGTGGCGCCCCTTAAAGGAGCAACGATCCCGCGTCTGGAGCTTTGTGCCGCACATTTTCTCGCTGTTACCCTCGAAAACGTACGTATTTCCTTGAGATTAACAGATACTCCTTATTACCTCTGGTCTGATTCTCGGATTGTGTTGTGTTGGCTACGCAAGCCGCCCACTACTCTAAAGCCGTTTGTGTCGAACCAGGTGCATCAAATACATGAGTTAACCTCAGCTCAGAATCCGGCAGATTGCGCCAGTAGAGGTATTCGGGCATCGCAGCTGCTGGATCATCCACTGTGGTGGCAGGGCCCAGGATGGATTATGGATAAGCATACACCCAACTTCTCTGTG